CACACCCCCCCCCCCCCCCCCCCCCCCCCCTTCTCCTCCTCTACGCTTTGTTCAGACTGCCGCTGGCCGACCATACAAAGCAGTTTGATCCACTGTTCAACATCCGGATAAGCTTTCCAATCGCCTTCTTCGCGTGTGTAAACCACCCCTGGCCGACACCAGGATTCCTCTCTGGGGTCGAAATCAAGAAGTTCAATATCCAGCGATGTGATCAGCCAGCCCACAAAATCCTCTTGCGCCATTGGCGCATCATTAACAGGCACAGAAGCTTCAGCGAGATACCGCGGCCTCAAAGTCAACAAGGCGAGCATGACCGGCAAAGCGAGGTCTCTGAACAACTTGCCTATGCGCCTGATACGTTCAGTCTGGTAGTCATAGTATCCGACCAACTCATCAGTAAACATCTTATCTCTCAGTCCGTCGCCGAAGTTGAGATCCCCATCCTCCCAACCTGTGAGTTCAGGAAAGATGGCAGCGTGAAGCTCATTGCTTGCCAGATGCTTAAAAGGCACCGCCGTATACCCCGGCCCCCGGATACACCCATGCGCCAAATACTCATGCTCGCCATGATACTCACCCGGATCCAAAAGATGCGGCACCCACCAGATTCTTACCTCGCCATCCAGTTTCTCGCGATCGAGCACAGCAACATGAACGTCTGTCAATGACAATGAACAAGTATACGCATAGCAAAGAACCGTATGGAGAGAAGCTGCCCAAGAGCTGAACTCAGTAAGCACGTTCTCGTCTTGCAAAAAGTGGGCGTGCGCCATGGCATGCAGTTCCTTCTCCGGTTTTTCGTAGAACCCAGTGACTTGCCGGCCGTTCATGAAGCCTCGGGGCATGATCTCGGTTGCGTTGATGATGGAACGCTCGCGGCCGCCGCCGCTGGATTCGTCGAAGGCGCGGAAGAGGAAGCGTGGGACGCGCTCTCGCATGGCTATTGTCACGGGTTGAGTTAGTTGTATGGAGGCTATAGCCGTCTTATCACATTCTTACCTTCAAAATGATCTTTTCGCTCCCCGGCCATCTTTTCGCCATCAGGGCCCAAGGCGTTTAGAGGCATCAATGAGGTGTTGATCGGTTTACTCTTTTCAAATGTTGATTTCCAAAATTGCATGAATGTATATATACACACCATATACGCAGCAAACAGCCGGCAGTCATGCGATCTTCTACGTAGTTTCTAGAACCACGACGATGGGACACCACCGCACATGAGTAACGCACATTCAGAGATGCGATTTCCCACGAGACACCTTGCCTATTTCAAACCTACGGCTGAGACGGTCACGTAGCTTCAACGCGAGAGACATGACTAACCCGCAGCGTAAACGATAATGTACTTCTCACCTACTGCAGATCCTGAACAATAGACGCGCATGATCATCCAATTTGACTGATATCCTTCGACATCTAGGCTTTGTCTAATTGCACACCAGCACCAGCATGGTCGCGTCAGAGTATCCAAACCTCATCTCGCACAATCAACATCTCGCCGCACTAACAGCATTCCACTACCACATCTCCGAGATCCGAACCGCCTCTCACAAAGCAGTCTTCGTACATGGTAAATATACTCATCCATATTTCATTTCATTCAGATAGCAAATATACACACAAATCTCCCAATCCATCCCAGCCCATCCGATCCGATCCATTCGCCCTGGATTTAAAAAAAAACAACGCCATGAAAAAAGCCTTCCTCATACGAAGAAGCTCAGTTGTCATCCCATCATACTGCATTCCAGCATGCATCCAAACAATGGGGTATTAACCAAAAAGCACCACCATCATCTTCATCATCTTCCATGCCTTCTTCACCACCCCACTCATTACATCAATATCCAGACCGACCCACCGACGAACAAAGCGAATATGAGGATAGTGAGGATAGCCGCGCCCGCTTTATCCCCAGTGGTAATTTCGGATTGGAACTTGGGTAATCGGTCGGCATCGTTTCCAGAGCCTAACCCGGGATTGCCTTCAGAAGTACCACCGGTATCGCGTGAGTACGGCGGCGGCACCCTCTGCGCATTCAACACACTGATGACGTTGAGCGCTGTCATCTGCGGTCCCACGCCTTTGATGTTGTCCCAGCCCTGCTTCCACCAACTCATACCGCACTGGTGGTTTCCGCCGCCGTGGTCAGACGGACCCTCGCACGTTTGCGCAGCAGCAACGGCGGACTTTTGCAGCTTGGGCATGATCTGGGGCGTGAATTCGGGGGCCATTTGCATGGTGATGCCGAGCCAGCGGGCGAGGTACGCTTTGAAGGATTCCTGGTCCGCGTCGCAAACTATGTTTGCTTCGCAGATCTCGACCATGACGCCGCCTTTGTCTTCGGGGAAGAAGATGGCGACTTTGTTGATGAATTTGGTGAGTTCGTTGCGCCACTTGTCGGCGCCGTTGGTGTAGTTGTACATCTGCGACGTGGTTAGCCATGTGATCGTAAGTTTAGTACTGCCTATCTTACGTATGCTGCTCCAGCAATCATGATTCCGTAGTTGTAGGTCCAGGGCGTTTGATCGGCGTCGCTGCATGGAGGGTTCGTGCTGATACTGGTTCCGTCGTAGACTTGGCCATCGCCAGGCAGAATGGGACTATTCGCCATCCAGTCGAATGCCTTCTCCGCCCACTTTGCATATGTGTCGTTCTTCGTGTACATGGCCAATCGGGCGCCGAGATGGAACAGTCCTCCGTTGGATGCGGTGTTTTTATACGTCCACCCATTAAGCCACGGATAGATCTGCCAGCGCATGCCACCGCCGCAAGTGCCGTCGGACACCTCCTTCTGGTAGCGGCCGACGAATTGGTTGAAGACGGACTGCGTCATAGCGAGCCAACCGGGCTGGTCTGAGGGAGGATCTTTGAGTTTGTATTCGGCGGCGGCGATCATGGAGAAAGCCCAGAAAACTTGATCATCGTTTCCTTCGTTCTTGGACTGGTTGGAGGGCATCTACAAAGCTTAGCGACAGACCTTGCGATAGCGCATAGGGATACATACCAGGTCTTGATGCTCACCAAATTGGTGTATCAGTCCCTCGCGGACCATCTCATTGTACTGATCGTCGCCGGTGTAGTGCCAGTAGTCGAGGAGGGTACCGAACATGGCACCCGCCTGCCACCAGTAGTAGGGTTCGTATAGGATACCCGGGTAACCACCGAGCACATGGATGCCCTTATCGTCGATAGTCGCATATTGCGCAACGAGCTGTTTGGCGACCTGGGAGGAGACATCGTTGATAGAGGCTGTGAGATCAAGTCAGTACATGCTACAAAGCGCATAACAGCCATGCGACGGCGACGGGTATCCTACTCTCCGAATTGGGGTCGAGCACGATGGCCTGGGTGAAGGGTCGCACAACATCTGTCGACAGCAGAGAGAGCGCCGCTAGCGCTCGCGCAGGGCTGAACAACCTCATCTCGACATGTGCTTTGCGCCTAAAACAATGCTAACGAATGGCTACCCCGCAAGTGCGTGAGACCAAGTGGGGAGGAAGCGAGATCAGGGAGATCAAGCAAGATCAAGCAAACAAGCAGCGTGGTGAGGTTGACCAGGGAGTAGGAGGCAGGTACCGGAGAAGGTTGTGGCAGCGGAGGAACGGCGACAGAAAAGCGAGTGTGAGTGGTAGTGGTAAACAGGCGTCCAGCGTTTGATGACGGACGTGACAAAGAGAGGCGGGAGCGATCGTCGAGGCAATAGCGGAATGGCGGCACTGGTAAGGTAACTTTGATGGATTCACACGGGCCTGTGCCCCCATAGGCTACCCTGGCAATCCCATGGTCGTATTCGCCGCCCGCATCTAATCATCATGCAGCTGGCGTTCCCTCTAAGCCGAGGAAAGGCAGGTCAAGTTGTAATTCACAGCGCAAGCGCCGGTGCGAACGGCGCCACACCACCACGAACGCCATGAACAGTCAACAGATTCCCGCTCTCACTGTTGGTGCTGTCTGCGTGTATCTTGCGCAACGCAGCAGCAGGGCCCGGTATCCGCGTTGAAACTCTAGGACCTCTGGAACGGATTCCGCATGCCTGCGCCCCACCTGCAGGGAATGTTTGTGGCGCAGGCGCCTGACTTTGCGCTGTTTGGCCTGACTTGACCGTTTGTTTTCCTCGTTCCGCTTCGTTTCGTTTCTCACGTGGTGAACCGAACCCATCAACTGCGCCTGAGTGAACCTGATCTTCAAACTACGTTAACGTCGGTCTCACACAAGCGTTTTCCAAGCAAGCTTACAGGCGTGCTTGAGGGCCGAACCCGCCTGCCCAGCTGTCTTGACGGCTCACTGCCAAGACCTCTGCCAAGCCACTTCCCGTGCAAATGTGTGGGGATGCCGGAAATTGGCGGTCATGGACCCTATTCTTAGTACACAGGTAGTTAGGCCAGGCCCTAAGGCAAGCAAGGCAAGCAAGCAGGCAAGAAAAAATGGAACACCAAAGATTCTTGGTCAAGGTCGCGAATATCATGCTTTTAAGCAGCAACAAGGAGACGCGCGTATCGCACGCGTTCTCTTACGAAGCCTTTTTTGCGTTTACATCCTAAACACACCCCAAGTGCTCTCCTTCTCCACGCCCTTGTTCTGTCCACCGCACGCCATTTGCAGGCCCATGCCAAGCACCCTCCGTGTATGTTCCGGCGGTATGATACCATCGTCCCATAGCCTTGCCGACCCGAACGTGGCCTCACTTTCGTGCTCGATCCGTGCCTTTAGCGCGGGATCCACTTTCTTGCCCACGGCTTCCATGACGGACGAGAGCTGTTCTGCGCCCATGACCGACGTCTTTGCGTTGGGCCAGGTGAACATAAGTCGGGGGGAGTACGCGCGGCCACTGTGCTTGTGTTAGCAATGTTGTGTCGAGGTGGAACTAGAAGGAGACTTACCACATGCCGTAGTTTCCAGCGCCAGCACTAGATCCGACGACGACTGTGAACTTGGGTACGTCTACACAGCTCACGGCTGTTACGAGCTTTGCGCCGTTCTTTGCAATGCCGCCCTTCTCGGCGTCCTGGCCGACCATGAATCCTGAAATGTTCTGGAGGAAGATGAGGGGGATGTGTCGCTTTCCGCACAGCTGCACAAAGTGCGCGCCCTTGAGCGAGCTCTCGCTGAAGAGAATGCCGTTGTTGGCTACGATGCCCACGGGGTGACCGTATATCTTTGCGAAACCAGTCACCAGAGTAGAGCCATACAATGGCTTGAACTCATCGAAAGAGGAACCGTCAACGATACGTGCAATGATCTCGTGAATGGGGATTTGACGGCGTAGATTGGTACCGACGATGCCTGAAAGCTCCTGGGGGTCGTAGAGAGGCTCCTGGAAAGTAGGCTGCGATGTGACAGTCTGATTGCGGTGCCAGTTCAAGTTGCCAACGCTCCTCCGCGCAAGGACAAGTGCGTGTGCGTCGTCAACTGCGAGGTAGTCTGTTACACCAGAGACCTCACTGTGAAGCTTGCCTCCGCCCAGGTCTTCTGCTGAGACGACCTCACCAGTCGCTGCCTTGACGAGCGGTGGCCCGGCAAGGAAGATATGACCCTGATTCTCCACGATGATGTTCTCGTCGCTCATGCTAGGCACATAGGCACCACCCGCGGTACACGGTCCCATAACAACACTGATCTGCGGGATGCCCATGCCCGACATGCGCGCTTGGTTGTAGAAGATACGGCCAAAGTGGTTGACATCCGGGAATACATCTGCTTGGTTGGGCAGGTTCGCACCTCCAGAGTCGACGAGGTAGATGCAGGGTAACCGGTTCTCCTGGGCGATCGTCTGGGCTCGCAGATGCTTCTTCACGGTGACTGGGTAGTATGTGCCGCCCTTTACTGTAGCGTCATTGGCGACAACCATGCATTGCACACCATTGACTGTGCCAATGCCAGTGACGATACCACCTGCAGGCACATCATCCTCTCCGTACATGTTGTAACCTGCCATCTGGCTCAGTTCGAGGAACGGCGTGCCCGGGTCAATCAGTGCAGATATCCTGTCTCTAACCAGCATCTTGCCGCGCTGTATGTGCTTGTCCC